AGACCCAGGACTTGTCCACACCGCCAGTGCTGCAGTCTTTAACCAAAAACTGCTCAGCAGGTCACCTATCTCCAGCACCCAGACACCCAGCTCCCAGTGGGATCCAAACCCCAAATAAATCCATTTTACTCTGCATAAAACTCATACAGGGTAAACTCATAAACTGTCCGCTCCCTATAACACTAATAGAGAAATATGCACAGCTGATTGATCCTCCAGGTATTAATTACTTACTCTGGGTTTACTAATAAATAAAAAGCATTTTATTAAGTATAAAAAGTAGGATTTAAGTGGTTCAAAGTAATAACAGACAGAACAAAGTAAGTTACCAAGAAAAATAAAACAAAACACACAAGTATAAGCGTAATACATTAAGAAACTGATTACAGGTAAATCTCACCCTCAGAGATGTTTCAATAAGCTTCTTTCACAGACTAGACTCCTTCCCAGTCTGGGCCCAATCCTTTCCCCTGGGACAGTCCTTGTTTGTTCCAACAGGCATCTTTGCTGAAAAACAGGGCCTTTTTCATGACTGGGACCCCCTTGTCCTGCTCCACCCCCTTTTATAGCTTTGGCACAAGGCAGGAATCCTTTGTCTCTCTGGGTCCCCACTCCTCTTCCTAAATGGAAAAGCACCACGTTTAAGATGGATTCCAGCAGGGCCGATGCTACCATTAAGGCAAACTAGGTGGTTGCCTAGGGCGCCAAGATTTGAGGGCGCCAAAAAGCGGTGCCCCCAATCTTTTTACAGCATTCCTACATCTCCTCCCCTAGTGCGTGGTCCCCGCTCCACTTCTCCCGCCTCCCAGGCTTGCGGTGCCAATCATCTGTTTGGCACCGCAAGCCTGGGAGGGGAGGAGAATTAGAGCGGGGGTGGTGTGCTCGGGGAGGAGACGGAGCAGAGGTGAGCTGGGATGGGGAACCGCCACACGGCTCCCCGGGGGGAGGGGCTGCCCCGGGGGGGTGCCTCAGGGCTGACAGGGGGGGTGGGGAGCTGCCGCAGGGCTGGGGGGGAGGGCGCAAGGTGGAAGTTTCACCTAGGGCGTGAAACTTCCTTGCACCGGCCCTGGATTCCAGTGTCGGGTGACATGGTCACATGTCACTGTAAGACCTCATTTTTCATTATCCACGGGTTGGCCTACATGTACACAGGCAGGCTTGCTGGGAAACAGAGCCATTTACAGTCAATTGTCCTAGTCAATGGGAGCCATCAAGATTCTACACCACCATTAATAGCCCACACTTTGCATAATTACAATAGGACCTGAGAGTAATACTTCATATTTCTAGTTTCAGATGCAAAAATGATACATTCATACAAATAGAATGAATATATTCAGTAGATTATAAGCTTTGTAATGCTACCTTACAAGAGACCTTTTGCATAAAGCATATTCCAGTTGCATCATATTCACACTCATAAATATATTTCCATAAAACATATGGAGTGCAATCTCACCCCCCACCTCCACACAGGGTGGGAGGTGATCTCTGTGATGAACCTCTGAACTCTGGGACTGCACTGGCCAAGGACAGCAACTGTGAGTGGGGTACAGAGAAGGGATGGGCACGTTAAAGGGACTTTGGGTTGCTAGACTTAAGAACCTGAGGGGAAAAGGACACTGCCCAACTTACTTGGGGGTGGGTCTTTTGCTCATGGCTTGTGTTTATGAACCCTAGTTGCAGTGTTTTCCTAAATTAAAGTTGAGTTTATTAAAAGTTTTTGCTACATTGTGCTTGCGAGAGCGGAAGTATTGCCTCTTATAGGCATCCAGGGGGTGGTGTGTAATTGTCCTAGGTCATTGGGTTAGGGCTCGAGCTGGTTTTGTGTTGTACTGTTGAAAGGAACCCCTAGATACTGAACCCAGCCCTTGTTGCTGCTGGCTTCACCTGGCAGAAGGGTTACACTGGTATAAGGAACTGGGAGTTTAGTGTGGGTGCCCTTGCTGGACCAGAGAGGGGAAATATAGGTGCAGTTGTCCTAAACTGTGACACTGATTCTAGGAATTTACATGGATCCTCTCGGTCCATTGTGATCTAAAGAAAGCCAAGCTGCTAAACACATCGCCTTTCAAGTCCCTCTGCTCAGGAACAGGGGACTAGTATGCTGTTAGGATTACTGTTTTCTCTTGGACAAACTGGAGAACATCCAGGGAAGAGCAACAAATGATGACAGGTCTAGAAAACATGGCGTATGAGGGAAGATTGAAAAAATTGGGCATGTTTAGTCTGGACAAGAGAAGAGTGAGAGGGGTTTTCAAGTACATAAAAGGTTGTTACAAGGAGGAGGGAAGTAAATTGTTCTTGTTAACCTCGGAGGTAGGACAAGAGGCAATGAGCTTAAATTGCAGCAAGGGAGGTTTAGGTTGGACATTAGGAAAAACTTCCTAAGTGTCAGGGTGGTTAGGCACTGGAATAAATTGTCTAGGGATGTTGTGAAATCTACATCCTGGAGATTTTTAAGAACTGGTTGGACAGGGATGGTCTATATAGTGCTTGTTCCTGCCTTGAGTGCAGTGGAATGGATTAGAAGACCTCTTGAGGTCCCTTCCAGTCCTCTGATTCAATAATTCTTTGTTGTTGTTATTGCATGATTGGATGGGTTTATTTGGTTTAAAATTATTTGTTTCTGGTTGCACAGACCTGCAGGTGCTGACTCGTTTCTGATGCCATGTTCAGTGTTCAAGCACTTCACAAGAGAGAGCCAAGACAATGCAACATAGGAGCTTTATTCCGTCCTCCAAACACACACACTGTTCTGCCTCATCAAGCAACTCCTGGAAGCAGAGTTTTCTAAATTCCTGGAAATTACTTTGTGCGTGATCACACTATAGCATCCCCTGACCCATGGAAAAATTATTTATCATAACACCCAGTGGCAAGGGGGCCACCTCCCCTCTGGAGGGGAAGCTGTATGGAGCCCCTTCATCCATGGCAGGACTCGCAGCAGGACCTCCCACCCTTAGCAGCAGCAGAGATGGGGATCCCTTCTCCCCACTTGGAGAGTCAGGAGTGGCAGCTGGCTCCCTACCCCCCCCCCCCCCCCAGTACTTATCTTCACAGGTGAGGTATATCTGCTTGGATGGGTAGGTGACCAGGCCTTATTCACTCCTCTGCCACACAGTGTTCTCAGACTGGGTGGTGTTGGCGGGGACCCCCAGAACGATGCATATGAGAGTGAAAATCCCATGGGGATGAGTGAGACAGTTCACACCTCTCAGAAATGTTGTTTCAGGCTCTCTGTAGACCCAGGCAGACACCACTAGTATCGGTTACACTTGGGTCACATTTTCAAAGTGTTAATTTGCTCGAAATTTACATTTTTTAAGTGAAAGCTGAGATTCTGCCCTCATCATGTGACTCCAGGAGCTGGGGCTCTAGGCACAGCTCTATAGTGCTTATGCTTTAATCTGGCCAGGCTGCTTGGAATACTTTGCATAGAGAACAACTATATATTTGTTTCGCAGTGAACTCCAAATCCAACCCATCCACCTTAGGAAATACAAGCGCACTACACAGGGCCACTGTCATCACAAAGGGACAGGGGATTGCCTGGGCGGTCACCATGGTGATTGTGGTTGGTAACAGTTGAATGGCTTGTGGGGATGTATAGTCTCTATGTTGAGTGGCTGTGGAGATGTATGTGATTAGACAAAATTCTGCATGCAGTTGCATGGCTTTACTGTCTGTTTTTTGGTTTTGGTAGTTTTGAGCTGGATATTTGTCCTGAGTTACCCTAACTGTAACAAAGGTTTTTTTCTCATGTGTTTGAATCAATATGTGATTCCATGCTATTATTTTCACAGAGACCCTTTTTCAACTAGAGGGCCTATATCCAGGAAAGCAACAACTGTGAAAAGGACCCAGGGGATCAATGTAGATAACCAGCTGCATCATGAGTTTCCCGTGCAATGTATTGTGTTAGCCCCTTTTGCCACAGAGCTCGTGTTCAGTTAAGACACAACTTGATCAGTCTGTACCTCCTCGGAGTGAAGATGTCTGATCAAAGGCAGAATGAGATCCAAAAGAGGTGGAGGGAATTGAAGTTAAAAAAAATCAAATTGAAAATATGATGCAACTTTTTAACACTGAGAATAATTAGCCACTAGGCTGTTGAATGTTACCAAGGGATGTGATTAATCATCACTTAGAGTCTTCAAACAGAGTCTGTCTGTCTTTCGAAAAGATATGGTATAGTTCAGTGTTTCTCCGGGGGGCCACCAAAGCCAATGGTTGCAAGGCATAGAAAATACAAACTAAAGCAAATAAATTCTTGCTCCCCACTCACCCTTACACTCTGCCAACCTCTCAAATCACACACAAATTCTGTGAGTATATCAGTGTTATCATTGACTAATAATAGTAAATAATGTTTACTATTCCTTTCATAAATGTGAGAGGTTGCAGAGAATTTTGACATTGAAGAAGTTGTCTCCCACCTGTAAAGCTTGAGAAACACTGATCGAATTCAACCACGTGTTATAGGAATGGCTGGGAGAAATCCGGTGACCTCTGTCACACAGAAGGTCAGACCAGAGGAACATAATGGCCTCTTCCATTCTTAAACTCTATGAATCTATTACAAGGGTTCCTTCTTGATAACATCCATCTACACATTAGAGTTCAGTTAGATGAACTTTCCATACGCCACTCTGCTGACTCTGCTGCACATTCTATTGCAATGGGATGCCCCATAAGACATGGGGGATATGAGGCCGTCCTGCTCCTGCTCTTCACCTGACCCAGCTCCACCCATGGGACTGACCCTTGTGAGCCACCCACACAAAGATTTCTGGGGGACCAGGAAGAGGGGGCATCGTGAAGCAGAATCACAGCTTCCCTCCAGCTGTGCCATCCCCAGAGGAAACGTGTTGGCGCTGAGTTCCTTCTGCTCTGAAAAGCTAAGTCCAGTCTGGATCAAGGCAGTTACTATGCAGGAAGGAGCTGTCCTGGGGCCTGAACCTTTACTGGCTATCGGAACAGGAGACCATTAGCCCAAGTTTCACTGCAAATCATTTTATTGGAGCAGGTTAACAATAAATCACTCAGAGAAGCTAGCGGACTTGAAACCCTTCAACCCTTTCTTGGAAGCCGACATGAGCATGTTGGGATGGAAGAGGTAGGAAACACAACGGGTTTGTGGAGCCACCTCCATGCTGGAGCTTACTCCTGGATCGATGCCCTGGGTTGGTGCTATGAGCAGTGTGCTCTGGTGCACCTCATGCTCAGTTCTTCTTCTCCCATCCTAGATGGTGATCAACTCGATCAATCTTGACATGGCATGTTAGGGCGCAGATGACAAGCACTGTGTGAGATCTCTTAGCCAGTGGCATACCATGATTTTTTCCCTGTTGGTGGGTGCTGATACTAGGAGGTGCTGGAAGTTCCTATCTCCACAAAGAACATGATCCCCTCCCCATCCCCTTTCCCACCCCACATGAAGCTGTATAAACTGGAAATCTCACACTTTCTTTAGATTGTGGTGATCAAGGTTTGCTGAAGATCTGTTTGGTTGATTCCTTCTGTTTCATCCATGTGGACATTCCTTTCAATCTGTCTCTGGGTGTCATGGAGATAATGGGGCAGGATATTCCCAAGGTTGGCTCAAACACTTCTGGGGGACCCTCTATGATCATAGAATCATAGAAATGTAGAGCTCAGGGAACTCCAGAGGTTGTCTTATCCCGGGAGAAGGGATTGAAAGGAAAATAAATGACAGAGAAAGGCCAGCAGATCCCTGAATAAGCCTCCTAGTTAGAGCTGTGTGAAGGGTCTGGGAGGGGAGGGAACACCCCAGAGGAAGCTGCTGATCAGGGAGAGCATGAAGGAGACTGGGGGGGTGAAGTTCTAGACAAAGTTCTGGCGCGGCCTTGGGGGACAAACAGCAGGATACCAGGCTATGAAGCACAGCACAGGATGAGTGGCGGTTTCCCAAATTCACTGATTCTGTGGTGTGTGGAGCAATGAAGTGCAAACATGGGCAGAGCTCTAACTGTAGGGGCTCAGCCGATCAATGGCACCCCAGAATGGCAGGCTCTGCAGCCCATCAGAACTAGCGCCAGCCGGCTCTCAGGGGGCGCAGAAATGAAAGCTTGTCATTTAAATTGATCGATTCATAGTTTAGAAGCTGTTCATCTTTCCGGGCAACATAATTCAAGCCGCTTCCATCCTCATGTTCACACAATAGCCAGGCACCGCTCTGCACCTTATGGGAAGACACTCGGTCATTGAAAGATCCCTTGCTCAGACTAGTTGCTTCTGTTACCACCCTGATCTCCCCTTGATAGTTGGCATGTTCATACAGAGTGATCTTGGGATTCTTCAGGTTTTCAGTGATCAGCTTGAGAGAAGTGATCTTGTCATTCATATCTTCAACAACAAAGCTGTATTCACCTTCCTCAAACACCAGGAACTTGCCTGAATAATTAGGATGCTCATATGCCACCCAGGGTTGGCCAGTGACCTTTACAGAGGAGACACAGTGGGCCCAGTCTGCAGGCTTCAAGTCAGCGATGTCAGAAGTGAATTCTTTGGATTTACCTTGGAAGTTTGCATGCTCATAAATGATGATCCCATTCATTTTGGTGGGTGTGGCAGGATCTTTGCAATTGGTTCTTGGAGCAGAAGCAGTGACTGAGAAGCTGTGGAGAGAGAACAGAGAGTCACAGCTTGGGAGGCAACCCCTACTCAGTGGAGACTCTCTGTGCTGGGATGAAAAATCAGGAAATTAGCATAATTTGAAACAACAGATAAATACACAAACCATAGAACAAAATGAGTGGGAGCATGGGCAAATGTATAGAGGGAATGGGCAAACTCCTTCCTCAAACGTTTAGCCAGCGGGAATAAGAGTAGGGTCTTTTCCCCCACCAGCTTACTCCAGGGTCTATTGCCTGCTCCCAACCTGCAACTCCACAGCCTATGAAGAATTGCAGTCTGCATCAATGGAAATGTTTTGTTTTGATAAAATTGAATTTTTTCTCTCCAATTTTGACTGTTTAATATATTATTTGTATATAATTTTATTTTCTATTGAATTAGGGTAGAATATTTTAAAATTATAATATAAAATAAAAGCAATAAAAGTGGTAACTGGTACTGTGTTTGGTAGCTGGTATCATATAATTATAACAGGGTGGCTTGTCCTACTGGATGCAGTGGTCCCCAAGGAAAGGACAATACTTCAAGGAAGAGGGGCTGTGCCCAGCTTAAGCCTGGGGGGAGGATTTCTTTTGTGTTTGTTTTGAGAAATTTGTTACGTTAATAATGCTAATAAAAAGACAGAGTCCCCAAAAGGGTTGTGTTGAAAGAGAGACTGTGTGGAGTTTGCTGAAGGAGCCCAGAAAAAGGGGAAAACAAGGCACTGCAGAGGCACTCCTGGCCACAAGCAGGTGCTGGGGTGGCAGTTAACCCCTTTCTATAATATAATTAAAATTAAGATATAATACATTTCAAATTAGAGATCAAACAGCTGCAAAATTGTGGCAACCAAAGTGTTACGAAAACCTGCGCCTCAGCTGGAGCATTGTGGGCACCACGTTTCAGGAAAGATGTAGACAAATTCGAAAAAGTCCAGAGAAGAGCAACAAAAATTATCACAGGTCTAGAAACGTGACCTATGAGGGAAGATAGAAAAAATTGGGTTTGTTTAGTCTGGAGAAGGGAAAACGGAGGGGGGACATGATAACAGCTTTCAAGGACATACAAGGTTGTTTCAAGGAGGAGAGTGAAAAATTGTTCTTATTAACCGCTAAGGAGAAGACAAGAAGCAATGGGCTTAAATTGTAGGAAGGGAGGTTTAGGTTGGACATTAGGAAAAGCTTCCTAACTGTCAGGATGGTTAATTACCTGGGGAAGTTGTGGATTCAACCGTCACCCAAGGTTTTTAAGAACAGGTTAGACAAACACTGGTCAGGAATGGTCTAGTTATCACTTAATCCTGACTTGAGTGCAGGGGACTGGACTAGATGACCTATTGAGATCCCTTCCAGTCCTACACTTCTATGATTCCAGTAAGACTGAACCAGAATTTTTACAGCTCACTGAAAAGCTTTGTTTCAAATTTCATCAAAACCAACACATTCCTGCAGAATGCGTTGATTTCAATGAATCAGCATTTTCTAACAGAAAATTTTTCTTTCCAAATACTTTTTGACCAGCTCTCATCTCTGTAAAGTTCTCAGAGCATGAAGCAAATGTCTCCTCCAGTGCAGAGAAGCTCACAGGTCACAACCCAGTAAATAGCCTTAGTGCAAACACATCTGGCTTACTAAATATTTCTCACCCACGATATACAATATATACATGGATGAAATAAGTACTAAGCAAGTACATGGTGAGCACCATAGCAGCAGCTCCTGTGACTCCTGTTCCGTGGGGTGGCTGGGCTTGGCTCCCCATTCAGTGCATTGTGACTTCTGGGGATGCCGTACTGCTCAGGTTGGGCCCAGTGCACCCCTTGCCGTATTTTTGTGTGTGGCATTGTGACCTTGCACATGGGGCTCAGCCCCACTCCCTGAAATTTGGCCTGCCCAGTCCCCCTTCATCATGACAGAGGGGTGGCTGGGTCAAAGGAGAGCAGCACGGCAACCCCAGAGCAGGAAGCCAAGCCCAGTCAGGCCCATGGGACCATAGTTACAGGAGCCTGTGAAGGGCTGTATTCCCCACACTTGCCCTGAGAGGTCCAATCAACCAGTTAAGCATGAGCAGGGGAGAGATTTAGGCTGCGAAGGGGCCACTAACTGGAAGCAGGCTCAGCTGAACAGGAACAAGAGGGGCCTGTATAAAGCCCGGAAACAGAGAGCAGAAATAGGGCTGCAGGGAAGCAGGCTGCAATCACCCCCTGGGAGAAGGAAGGTGTGTTTGGGGATGCAGGGGAGTAGTCTGCCGTCGGTCCCTGAGAGGAGGGAGCTTGGGCTGGCAAACCCAGAGGGATGGGGAGATAGAAGATAGAGCTGTGAAGTAGGAAGGAGTTCAGGGACACAGCAATATGGTCTGGGAGTGAGCAGGCCACCGTTGCTAGAGATAGGGTCCCTGGACTGGAAAATGGAGTAGAAGGTGGCCTGGGTTCCCCTACCAGCCACTGAGGATGTGGCATAGGCCAGGCAAAGGACAATCGACTGCCTTAGATCATTTGCCCTGGAAGGGGAAACAAGCAAGTGACCTGGCTGGAGAGCCAAGTCAAGAAAAGGGAACACCCTGAGTTGCAGAGGGTATGACTGGACAATGAGAAAGACACCACCAGAAGAGGCCACAACGCCTGGCCAGACCTAATCCCCAGAGCGACCAGGAGGAGGCACTTTTTGCGGTGAGTGAACCCTGAGACAGAGCCACTGCTGTGACGTGAATGGGACAGGCTCTGCAACCCCACAGGGCAACCCCACCTCCCCGGGGCAGGACTGGACCCTTCCACCCTCAGGCCTCCCACACCACCCTTTGGTACATTCTGGTGAACCAATTTGGGGTCACAGTGCACAGGTTGAGAAAAGCTTCTCCACATGGAGACGAGAGGGAGAGAGTGAGCGAGCACATAAATCAAGTTCAGCGTTTGCATCCAGACTTTGAGCACTGGATATAAATTGACAGAAAATGCCTGTGAGTTCTGAGCAAATTGTTGAGGAGCAAGAGGTGGAGAGGCCATCTCAGGGCTCCTCCCACTGGGGACTGGGAAGGGGAGGCAGAGCAAATCCAAATATCCACAAGACTTTTCCTCCTTCAGACTGAGGTTTTGGATGAGGAAAAAGAGACACTGTCCACCTCCCATCCCTGATATCCCGCATGCTGGGGATGAGGGAGGAGTGTACCCTTAACAGATACCCCCTGCTGCTATCTCTTCCCCTCTGGGATTTTGGGAAAGAGTTGGCTTGGAAAGGATGGGAAAGCAGGGAGAAAGGGGACTGAAGAGAGAGGACACCACACAGATAGGAGGAGAAGAGAAGGGCTATGGGCAAGCGGTGAGAGCTAGAGAGAGAAGATGAGAGAAAGGGAAGGAATGTTAGAGAATCAAGAAAGAGAGACAGGGCCATGATGAAAGCAAGGAGCGAAAGAAGAATGGATTTTGAGCCTGCAGAGTCTAGTGCACGGAGCACTTACAATGCTCGACTCTGAGCCGGTGGTACACAGCCACCGTACCAGACATCCAGAAGGAACTAGTGTGCCACAGGACTTAGAGAAACACCCTGCAGTGGCATTGGTTACCATAGTTTGGAGCCAGTCCTGCAGACATGTAAGCAGCTGCGCAACTTTACTCACACAGATAGTTCCACTGGCTGCCTAGGGGCACATGGTGCTTTGGTGTAAAGTGTTTGCATTTACTGGGCCAGATTCACCACCGGTGTAATGCAATCTTACATACACAATAGAAGGATTTATGCTGATTTATTCTGACATAAATTAGCAATGTTCCCTATGGATAGGAACTCTGAGGGGCACCAGGTTATAGCTGTATAAAGCTGACATAATTCTAATGTTGTGTGATGAAAGGGAGCCGAAGATCCCAGAAGTAGATGGTCGTGGCAGAGAATGGGGCCTGGCCAGGGTCTCCATTGTACATAGAGCTGATTGGGCATTTTCTATTGAAATGATTTTTGGACAATTTCTAAAAAATCTAAATTTTCAATGGGAAATTTTCAATTTTGCTGAATTTTGGGGGGAAATCAAAAGAAAATGTTTCATTTCCGGGCTATTCAACAGTACACCGCTTCCGCCTAGAGTGCCTTAATGGTTCATGGGAGTCATAGTGCAGGTGCTTTGTGCCCCCCATTCTCAACTATTACCTGGACCCTTACCCAGACTACATTCCCATGATGCACTGTGGTCTCCCTTCTGACAGAGCCACATGGCACGTCACGGAGATGTATTCTTGGCAGGAAGCCTGCCCCATAGGGAAGAATGAACGCATGAGGTACCCCAAACTACCTGTCCCATGAGGCAATAAGCAAATGCAGTTCAATGTCAAACTGACTTGAAACAAAATGTTTCAACATTTACTAAACAAATTCTTTTGTGAAATTTTTTGATATTTTTCCAATTTGGGACATAAACAAATGTCAAATTATTACAATTTCCTATGAGCCAAATTCCTATTTTGTCTCAGCTACATTCATGCAGTATGTACTCACCTCCTGTAGTGTGTGCTCGTCTGCCTCCTCCTACTGGCCCCAATTCAGAAAACCTGTGAAGATTAGACTGTTACAAAGCTGCAAGAATATGGATTTAAGAGCCTAACTTTAGGCACTCAACTGAAATTTTTCATGTTAACCTCTGTGCCTTAGTTTCCCCATCTGTACAAGAGGAATATTAATACTTCCCTTGTTCTTCTTCGTGATGATTAAATACTTAAGGATTGTAAAGCAAAGCTAAAAATCACCGGAGTTCACATAAAAACCTCCAGTGGCCAATCCCCCCTCTCTCTCCCACCCCACCCCCATCTTATTGAAACAATTGGCCATTGCAAATGTTTCAGTGTTGATGTGCACAAAGCCCAGAACAAGCAGGTTGCTCTTCTTCTTCTTCTTCTTCTTCTCTTCAACAGAAGAACTAAAGATCACAAACATGCATTTCTCTTACTGTGAGCATTTCTTGCCTATAACATACTGTTATGCTGGAGGTTGGGTGGCTCCCACCAAGCGTGTCTGACCTACAGGCAGTCACACACCTCATTGAAGCTATGGGCATGGCACCCAGCTTTCATTCAGGCTAAAAAACATAGCAGTTAAATACTCATTTGTTTAATGACCACTGAAAAAATGGAAGCCACCACCCAAAGACTAGACTGGATGCAAACACAAGGGCTGCGGATTGATTTGTGAGGAGCTGTGTGTGTGTGTGTGTAAGTCAGAAGCAGCCACAAAGCAGGGAAAGAGAGTTTTTCTTCATTCCTGTAGTATCTGCCACCTCTTCCTACATTCTCTCCCCTTCCTATAGTATTTGGTGTGGTCTCCCTCTGTCAGAACTTGTGCTATCCAAAACCACCTTCCCTAAATACAGGAGGTGCATTCTCACGCCTGGTGGTAGCAGTAACATCTCCTCCCTAGTATCAGAGGGGTAGGTGTGTTAGTCTGAATCTGTAAAATGCAACAGAGGGTCCTGTGGCACCTTTAAGACTAACAGAAGTATTGGGAGCATAAGCTTTCATGGGTAACCCACGAAAGCTTATGCTCCCAATACTTCTGTTAGTCTTAAAGGTGCCACAGGACCCTCTGTATCTCCTCCCTACAAAATCATCTCAGGGGATGTGGTGAGCTCATGTGAACTGTGCATACTAAACCCACAAACACTCTGTCATTCTTCTCTAGGTACTTTCATCAACTTCCTAGACAAAGCATAATAACAAATAACGATTTATACCTTGGCTTCTGGCTTCAGCTTCTGACACTTGGGAGCTCTCAATGCACCTTCCTATCCAACTGCTGCTGCAGACAGGAGATACCCTCTCCAACCGGCTTTATACCTGAACATCGGCTGCTCACTATCACAATATTACATAGCTGCCCAATAGGAGTTCACCACTTGTGCTATCTATGTCAAGAAGCAACTCAGTGCCCCAGGATAATGCCATAAATGGTAACAACAATGTCGTTGAAGCATTTCTTTTGAAATAATTTTTCTGCAGAAAAGGATCTGGGGATTAAAGTAAATGAAAAGCTGGATATGAGTCAACCCTTGTTGCCAAAAAGGCCAACGGCATATTGGGCTGTATTAGTAGGAGCGTTGCCAGCAGATTGAGGGAAGTGATTATTCTCCTCTATTCGGCACTGGTGAGGCCACATCTGGAGTATTGCATCCAGTTTTGGTCCCCCCACTACAGAAGGGATGTGGACAAATTGGAGAGAGTCCAGCGGAGAGCAATGAAAATGATTAGGGGCCTGGGGCACATGACTTACGAGGAGAGGCTGAGGGACCTGGGATTATTTAGTCAGCAGAAGAGAAGAGTGGGGGGGGGGGATTTGATAGCAGCCTTCAACTACCTGAAGGGGGTTTCCAAAGAGGCTGGAGCTCGGCTGTTCTCAATGGTGGCAGATGACAGAACAAGAAGCAATGGTCTCAAGTTGCAGGGGGGGAGGTCTAGGTTGGATATTAGGAAACACTATTTCACTAGGAGGATGGTGAAGCACTGGAATGGGTTACGTGGGGAGGTGGTGGAATCTCCATCCTTAGAGATTTTTAAGGCCTGATTTGACAAAGCCCTGGCTGGGATGATTTAGTTGGCGTTGGTCCTGCTTTGAGCAGGGGATTGGACTTGATGACATCCTGAGATCTCTTCCAATTCTAATCTTTTATGATTCTATGAAGTATTACTCCTGTGTGGTGTGCTGGAATTGGTATTTGCAATGTTCCAAAAAATCCCTGTGATTCCATAAGCAGCTGTTACAACTGATGGCAGCCAGGGGCGGCAGATTTGTATAATTTTTGGTGGTGCCCAGAACGGGTTCAAGTCCCGCCCGCCCCACACACCTGCCTAAGGCTCTGGGAGGGAGTTTGGGTGCAGGAGGGGTTTGGGGTGCAGACTCTGGGAGAGAGTTTGGGTGAGGGCTCTGGGAGGGAGTTTGCGTACTGGGTGCAGGTTGTGGAGTTTGGGTGTGGGAGGGGGTTTGGGGTGCTAGGTGTGGGAGGGGGTTTGGTGCTAGGTGCGGGGTTTGGGAGGAGGTTTGGGTGCTGGGTGGAGGCTCTGGGCTGGGACAGAAGGTTGGGAGGTGGGAGGGGTTGCGGGGCGTGGGGCTGGGTGCAGGATGAAGAGTTTGGGGTGCAGCAAGCAGGATGCCCTGGTGCTGGTGCAGGGGGCCAGAGAGGAGGACTCCCCCAAGCCCTCTTCCTGCTGGCAGCAAATAGCTCCGGGAGGGGCTCTCCCCCCCTAGCACGACACTCACCCAAGCCCCCCCAGGCTGCTATTCAGGAGGTCCAGCCGGGATAAGCCCATCCCCCCTCGGAGTCAACTCAGAATCGCCTGCTGGGGAGAGACCCAGCCCCAAACATTGGTGGAGCCAGGCCCCCAGGCCCTTAATATTCCTGGAGCCCAAGCACCACGGGCTCATATAACTCGCAGTCCCTGGTGGCAGCAGCTTCAAGATGGCAAAAGCTCTTTTGACTGAGAAGAAATGTACTGGTCGTGGGGTGAGACTGGAATCAATGGGCATTTGACAGACATTCATGGACTGAAGAGAAAATAGCAAAGTACCTAGCAGTGTGCTTGGATGGTGATGCCATAGCATTTTACCAGGATTTAGTATGGAGTGTGGATGTTACAGACAGTTACGCAAACACTTATCCAAGTGCTATGAGGAAGGATTGGCTTTTTTGGAAAACAGAAGGAATGGCCAGCAAGGAGGAGGTAGAGAGGGGAACCCCTGCATAGCTATTCGTGTGCATTGAGGAGACTCTTAAATAGGGCTTTCCCTGCCCCACCCTGACTGAGAAGTGGCTTGAATGAAACAGAACCTTCAGGGCTGAATCTGGAACTGGGAATGCACAGAGGGGTCTATGCCTGGTTGGAAGCTGTGAGAGAATCCTGTGTGAAAAGCCAGTTTATAAACTGTTTAACAGGGGGACTTCATAACCTGCTGGTGAAGGAAGATAACATCCTGGATCAACCTCTGAAGCAGATTACATGCAGAGTTCAAAATGTGGAAGCAGAAATTGGGGGTTCCTTAAAGATATCAGCTGTTAATTCCCAGCCTTGCGGTGACTCCTTTGCACCTGATGCAGCACTTCAAGCAATGATTGCTACTGTCACAGTTTAAGGGTTAACTGCAGTTTTGTCCCCCAACTCGCTCCCTTCATTACAAGTTCATGTCACGTTTCACTTCAGGAAGAACAACCTGGCACCGTTCATCTGTTTCTGTATGTAGTAGGGGTGATCCAACCACAGCTCAAGAGCCGCATGCAGCTCTTTTACAGTGAAATTGCAGCTTGCCACCCCCCTCCTCCCATCCCAGCCCATTCTCCACCTAACAGACTGAGGGAGGGAAGCTCGGGGCTTCTGCCCTGGGATGGGCAGGTGGGGTTAGGATCTTCTGCCCAGCGGGGAGTGAGGTTTCAGGGCTTCAGCCCTGTAGGGCACGCCTGCCAGGGCTCAGGGCTTCAGCGGGAGTAGGGCTGAAGCCCCAAGGTCCGGCAGGCGCACCTGGCTCTCAAACTTCTCAAGATTATTGTATGTGGCCTGGAGGATTGGTATGTTTGGGCACCCTTGGTATATAGCTTACGCCTTTGATCTCTAGCCTCCTGAAAAGCTAAGACCCATCAATTGCCTCCTCTCTGGGGACGAAGCTTCAAAGTCTGAGTTTTTACATAGGAATTGTTGGGGAATTTCCATTAACCACCCCTCAGGGAGTCCTCAAGGAACCCACTCAGCAAGCCAGGACCCTGAAAACACATTTCCCATTTATTGTCACAAAAGTCCATGCAAGTCAGGCTCATTTCAATATTTCAAGTCCTTGTGCTATAATTACTATAAGGTGGGTGCACAACTGGTTGAAAGACCCTTCTCAAAGAGTAATTATGAATTAATTTGCTGTCAAACTGGGAGGGCACATCTAGTGGGGTCCTGCAGGGGTCAGTCATGGGTCTGGTACTATTCAATATTTTCACTACTGACTTGGATAATGGAGTGTATGCTTATAAAATTTGAAGACAACACCAAGCTGGGAGGGGTTGCAAACACTTTGGAGGACAGGATTAGAATTCAAAACGACTTTGATAAATTGGAGAATTGGTCTGAATTCAACAAGATGAAATTCAATAAAGTTAAGTGCAAAGTGCTTCACTTAGGAAGGACAAATCAGATGCACAACTACAAAATGAGGAATAACTAGCTAGAAGGTTATACTGCTGAAAAGGATCTGAGCTTATAGTGAATCACTAATTGAAGATGAGTCGACAATGGAATGCATTTGCAAAAAAGGTTCATACAAATCTGGGGTGTATTTACAGGACAGTCTTATGTAAGACATGGGAGATCATTTCCCCACTTTACTCGGCACAGGTGAGGCCTCAGGTGGAGTACAATGTTCAGTTCTGGGCACCACACTTTAGGAAAGAGGCGAACAAATTAGAGTCCAGATGAGAGCAACAAAAATTATGAAAGGTTTAGAAAACCTGAGCTATGAGGAAAGGTTTAAACAACTGGGTATGTTTAGTCTCGAGAAAAGAAGAGTGAGGGGGGCCTGCTACACATAG